GCCCCCCTGTATACATAGAACCAAGTAAAATACGAAACTGGTTCAACACATTTATTCTAGTTATCGATTTTTCTCTAGTCGAGAGAATACGAAATCTAAGAAGGAAATGGCAATTCATAGGCAGTAGTTCCAAGTGTCATCCTTGTCAAATGTAGGAATGGTGTAAACAGTAGCAAAGTGACATACAAGAAGAGCACGAATATCTGTGATAAAAGCGACGATACACAGTTTGAGATTCACCCACTATATCACATCGAATGATCTCATTACACCTAGAGAGTTTTTACTTCGAAGCTCGCCACTTCCTTTCCTTGAGAGTTATACAAGTATGTGATGACACTGGCACCGACGCCCCAAGTGCTGTGATGATCCAGCACGAAGTGATGATGGTGATCACTTCTCACTTGTGTTAGGGCAAGTGAAGAGACCTGTAATGATAGGAATGAATATCCGTCTCATGGGATATCTTCTTGTATCGATTTTTATGGTTTTCCCGGCGATATTTTTTATTGTATTGATTTCCCGCGTGGTGCTGATTATTTTGTGCATTGAAATACTTGTTTCTAGTTTAATTACCCAAGTTTGAGGTAGATCAATAAATGGTCGATTGTGGTATTCGTGCGTAACCGGTAAGTCAACCCGCGTGGCGCAGTTAGCAGGAACCAGGGTCAACCCTATGTTGCTACAAGTAGCAACGGGGGGTCGTATTTTGATGAGTTTGTAGAGGGGGGTCGTACTTGCTTCGGTTGTAAGAAGAGTGGAGGAGTGGCGCGGGAGAAAATTTGCCGTTTCAGTGCGCGGGGTAAATTGGTGGAAATTTAGGGAATTTTGGTAATTTTTACGGTTTCAGAGTGACTATATACCCCCCGCTCGACGGCATTTTTGGAGGAAAAAGTGGGCGGAGTTTGGAGGTGGGTTGAGTGGTACCAGAATTAAATACTATAGAGAGGAATATGGTGGTCGAGGGTCGAAAAGGGGGTCGTACCAAATCCACCTTGGGGGAGGGGGGTCGTAAAAATTTTTCGAAAAGTAACAACGATAGGACCGACCCTGGGGAACCACAATTTTATGGTGGATGAATGCTGGTACTAGTATGAGGAAGGTACCCAGTCCTAATGACGAAAGGTCTCCTGGGGAACATTAATTTATCTTGAAAACAGTTGCTTGCAGGTACGGAACAGTCCCAATGGAAACGGTTCGTCGAATTCGTTCACTATGCCTAGCGATATAGCATACTCTTATCTGGCCTAAAGACAACTGAATGGGTCAGATTGTTTACTAAATTTGATCTGACCGGAAACTACATACAGTTCGTGCTCCTTGATCATAGCAGAAAAGACATCACCGTGGGGTGATGTTTCGTTTTCCCACCTGCAGTTTAAATACTTGGAATTTGCGGGTCTCATCCGGTAAGAGGGGGCATTGCGGTGCACGGTCTGCTCTAATGCCAATTTGGCTCAAGGAGTCCTTTAAAGTTACGAGCTGCTATCAGCTTTTTCCTATGTTATTTCTTCAGGTGTTTTGTGTAATGTATGTATTCTTGTACTAGATGACATTAACGTCTACGAAAAGTAATATTCACCTAGTCAGCAGGTCAGGACTAAGCCTAGGAGGGGGAGGAAGTCCCCCGGGGAAAACCAAGATTGCTCACGGACCCGGGGCTCCTTCCCTTCTAAGGCTTAGTCCTGAACGTCTACAATAAAATAATGTGCTTTCCATGGTTTGAAATGCTCTAGATCGCTATGCCCCCTCCCCCTTACTGGACTGGATTAAACCCTTAATTGCTTTACAAGTGGCTTATTTTGAACCGCGCATGTTTTAAGTTTTCGGCCGCGTAAGACCTCATTGAATTTTTTAAGAATTGTCAAGCAAACTGGGAAGAAAGCCTACACAACGATTCAGAGGAAACCTCATCCAATGAAATGGAAGAAAATACACGGAAAATTGACTATTTGTTTCATGAATGTGGGCTGAAAGGTCGTACGCGTTGGGCGGACCGCAGCTCACATATGCATGGGATGGGCTCCATGGTGGTAAAGAAGCTTTAAGAAAAATGATAAAACTGAGCAAGTTAGGCGCACCTGTGCAGTTTGTCCAGGGTACAGCACAAAGAGCGGTGGGAATGTGAAGGATCTTTCAATGCCATCAACTGTCCGGCTCAGACGATAGCCACTCAAGCGGTGCTGAAATAGAAAGCGGTTTTAGAAACAACAAGGAACATTTCAGGAAAATGGCCGTGGTCACCCGCGAAGTATGAGAAAAACATGATATAGATAAATGAATAAATAAATAGAATTAACTAGCATTAAGGATTCGATGCTGGCCTTATTCATATACGGCTGGCCTGAGTGTAACAGACAGCACCAGGCAAAGCGAGCAATGTGAACTCTAAGTTAAACAGACTTTGATGAGAACAGAATTCACCTCGACTGCGCCGGCGTTTTCAACGACTACCTGCGTACCGTTTTCATCGCAATCCTTGATACGGATGTCGCCCTGGAATTCACGTAAGATTCACATAGGCATGTCTCATGGAAATACCAAACATTAGAACCGGGCGTATACCTCATATGTTCGGTGCTTTGTGATCTGGGAATACGACTCGTAGAGCTTGGCCACTTCGCGATGTCCCCACCTGAAAATGCATTCGAAAACAAAGTCTAATATTTCGTTGGAATGGGTCACACACAACGCACGGAAAATTTTTATTAATGACTTCAAATTTGCATGGAAGAATTCCAGACCATTATTATACATATACGTACTTCCAAGATTGCCCTGCAGCTATCCCTGCTAGGAACTTTGTGGTGCCAGTGGAAAGAGTTGCCAAGAATAAGGTTCAAAAATGGGAAACGCTGGCTATAAAACTCAGTCTCCTCCAAGATTCGAGGTCCGGGATCGCACATACACATGCATATTCAATTGATTTGCTTTCCGCTTCACTTACTTTTACCCTAACTCTTTACACATGCGCTTTTTTCATGGTCCTGCTAGGAAAGTAC